TTTTTTGGTCTTTTTGAGACAGGGTCTTCCTGTAGCCCCAGCTGTCCTGAACTCACTATGTAGACCAGTCTGGCCTTGAACTCACAGAGATCCGCCTGCCTCTGCCTCCTGAGTGTTGGCATTAAAGGCGTGCACCACCACGCCTGGCCTCCTGCAAGACAGTTTTTTAACGTCTATTTTTTTGAGTATTGCTCAAATGTGGTAAATATCAATGTTATAAATTGATAGTAAAAACACAAATTGCATAATTTTGGTAGCAATCTGGCAACATAATCATCTTTAAATATGGTTTAAATACATTAATAGAACTATTACTTAGAATTCTAAGAATCTACCCAGTGAATAAAACTAAATGCTAATTTTAGTTATTTACTCTTTATTCCAGTATTATTGTAAGACTGCATGACAGGGACAATGACTATTTGTAAGCTTATGTTTATAGAAAGCTGTTATTTTTGAATTTAAAATAATTTAAAAATAGCTATAAGCAGCATAGACATGGAGGAAGTAGGTAAGAAGACCCAACCCAGAAAACTGTGGTAAGAGATGGCTGCTGGTAGGGGCAGAAACCAACTCTTCCAAGATGGGCCTCTGGGTAGGTTAATGAGGCTACAGTGGATGCACCCATACTGAAGGACATTTGGGGACATTAATTAGAATCTATAGGCATTATTATATATCCAATAGAGTACATTGGGCAGGGTCAACAAGGGAGATGCACATAGGGGAGGGGATCTAAATACCACCAAATTATATTATATAAAAATTTTAAAAATTCAATTAAAAATATAATCAAAATTATTAAATGTACTTGCTAATAATTAAAAGAAGTAACTAATTTACTGAAGCTAGTAAAACCCTGTATTTGATTTTCAGGGAAATCTATGGTATACTGGAAATAAATACCAGTTTTAAAATAATCAAGAATTTCTAGAGTAATATTTTCTCAAGTATTTCTTGCCATTAGTTTCACTCCTCTATCATCTACCTTCGACATTCTGCTACAGCAACTTTCTAAAATCCAAATCCATTTATAGCAGTTTCAGATAAAAAGTCTCACATAACAAAATAGTGAGGATTCCAAGTAAAATCCTTTATGATTTGAGTTCTAATGTTTGCTTATTTCTACATGTACAGTTTACTCCAAACTAGAATCACTGAAGTGTCCTCCTTGCCATGATTCTGCATCTACTTTGTGTTTCAGTTCAATCCGTGACAACCTTGCCTGCCTGCCTTGTCCCATGAGGTGAACTGTACCTAACTCCTTCTTTGTATAGTGCTCTGCTTGTAAAAAACTTTTGTTTCCATGCAATGCTGGACATATATTTACACAGCAATCACAGAACTGACATTTCAATTCTCCTTGATACTGTCTAATAAATACTTTTAGAGGGAGGGATACTTTTAGTGATAACTGTTGTTTATGTAAACTTGGTTTCCAACACTCAGCTTAATATACATGCTAAAAGCAGGCAGATCTCTATGAGTTCAGGGCCTGCCTGGTTAACATAGTGAGTTCCAGGCCAGCTGGGGCTGCAGGGAGACCCTGTCTCAAAAAGATCCCCCCCAAAAAAAGATGAATGAAAATAAGGAGTGTAGAAATTAAGATGTATAAATTAAAGGAAAAATCTCTGAAGGATGTTCCTTTGGAGCTGGAGATGAAGCTGGGGATGTGGTAGAACACATACCTAGCATGCATGAGGTCATAGGTTTAATTCCTAGCATAAAGAAAAAAAGAAGAAATGCTCCTTGGATTGGTTGTATTTTTAGTGTTATGTAATTAGAAAATTTATTTCTGTCCTAATAAGTAGCATTAGTTTACTAGAGAAAAATGATATAAAATGATCTCAAATATAATACTGAAAAATTACAGCTGTGAGTAAATAATACAATGCAATATGTCATAAAAATGGCCTTAAAAACACTAACAGTGTTACTGCAAGTAAAAAAAAACGTTCAGTAAGTGCCACTTCATCTTTAAAATGATAATAAAATCAATTGTCAGAATTACATGTAAGCATGCTGAAAGACAAAATTTAAAGATTTTAGAAACTACAATTTACTACTTCTTCCTTTATTAATTTATACTCATTTAAATAAAGACATATTGGAATAATTTATGTACCAATAATCAAATCCTAGAAATAAGCATTCAAGGCAGGTTTGTTGAATAAATCTAAACATGCATAAGAAATGTAGAGATAATAAAAAGAAAACAAAAGCTGGTATTTACTAAGCAATCTGCCTTGAAAAAACAGACATTTATGAGTTCTTAGGAAAAAGAGAACAGTGACAAACTACCTAAACTAGTCTTGTTAATCTCTGTGCTTTATAAGCAACAGTATAGGAAACCCCATTCAAGGGGCTGGAGAGATGGCTCACCAGTTAAGAGCACTGGCTGCTCTTGCAGAGGATCTGGGTTCGATGCTTAGCACCCACATGGCAGCAACAAACTGTCCTTAACTCTGGCTCCAGGGGAATCTGAAGCCCACTTCTGACCTCCGCGGCATTGCATGACACAGGTGCACTCATATACATGTAGGCAATATACTCACACACATAAAATAAAAAAAATAAGAAACCCAATTCAATAGTCAAAATATCTTGAGCTATAATTTATTTTTTTAAAGGAGAGGGTGTTGGATCCTCTGGAATTGAACAGTTATTAGGCACCATGTGGGTGCTCAGGTCTTCTACAAGAACTCAGCCAGTGTTCATAAGCACTGAGTCATCTCTCCAGCCCTAAGCTATAATTTCTTATAAATAAAATTAAACAACAGAATTCTAAAAGGCATAGCATATACCCTGATGAAAAATCTGATGTATTTATAAGAGAATCAGTAACAACAGCATATCTAACTCTACAGTATAACAGAGAAATGATGTGTTTATTTATTAAAAGAATAAACGTACATAAACCTCTCACCTGTTGCATATGTCTGCTTGCTCGTTTCTGTGGCTGATAGGTGATCCATGTATATAAGACTGGATCAATATTAACAGCTATTCCTTGTACACTACACAGAAATACAGCACCTAAAATAGAATATTTTATAGCTATTATAAACACTGACACAAAAATAACAAGCTACAAGAAAAGAGATAAATAATAAGTACTGGTAAGGATGTACAGGAATTCAAACTTGCCCCCAGTGTTATACGAAGTAAAACAATTCAGGCACTTTAGGAAATAGTATGAGATTCCCTCAAGAACAAAAGAACATAGTTATAAAATGATCTATTCCTAGGTAGAAATAAAAAAAAAAAAAAAAAGACAAAACAAAATGACAGAAATAATTTGTCTCCAGAGTTTACCCATAAAGAAATAATAAGAAAAATAGCTTAGGCTGAAAGGAAAATTATACTAAACAGAAATTCAAATCTAAGGCTCAAAGAACACCAGAAAAGGAAAATAACACTGGAAAACAAAAACTACTTTTTAAAATGAGCATACAAAAAAATACGATTTTAAAATTATCTTTCAAATCACTTTGACTTTTTAAAGAAGAAATAAGAAAAATACAATGTGGGGTTCATCTTAAGTACAGAGGTAAAACTTATGCACTTAAAACAAAGACTGGGAGGAGGTAACTGGTAGTAAAGCAAATACTGATTAAAATTGTTCTTCAGTTTGCAGATTTCTTAACTGTATCTGAATTTAACAATGTGACTATCGAGTCATCAGACCAAATAAAATGTTATCAAACACAAATAATTTATGTAGAAATGCGCTTTTCTCTCTCTACACCCCCAGTTCTGCGCATCCTTCGCCACTCGGACTTTCTAGCTTAGTTGAACAGTCATTCTCTGAATGGCTACAACACTAAGCAGTAGAAAGCTCATTTTGGCCACTGACAAACCAACTTTCTCAGTAAGAATAAAGATGATATGAGGCTGGAGAGATGGCTCAATGATTAAGAGCACTAGCTGCTCTTGCAGAAGACCCAGGTTCAGCTACCAGCACCCACCTGGCAGCTCACAACTTTCTGTAGTTCCAGTTCTATGGGAACCAGCAACCTCTTTTTGTCTCCACAGGCATTTCACACATAGGTGCAATTATATACATGCATGCAAAACACTCATACACATAAAATAAAAAGAAATAAAAATTTAAAATAAAGATAATAGAGGTGGTGATATGTGTTTTTTAAAAATAACAGTGCTTGAAATAGCCACATATCTATTGCTTCACAGTGTTGGTCAAAGATAGTTATGAACATAGCCCAGTACAAAATCATAAACAAATTAAGACACTATGAGATTTTATTAAAACTCATTGTCACAAAGTCCAAAGGTTGGCTGGCCACTTCTGCTGTACAACACCAATGAATGGCTTATTTTTCTTGCTCCTGAATTCAAATTGAGACATGTCTTGACTGTTTTTCTCAAGACAGTTATTGCAGAGAGTAGGTAGGGAACTGGATTTGATTGGGGGGGGTCTGCTGATGCTTTGCCCCTCAGCTCAAGATGCAATCTCTCAAATAACTATTTGGCAGAATAACTGTTTAGAAGCTAATATCCAATTTCCTTGTACTTGGCTCATGTTTTTCATATCACATTATATTAAAGTAACATACCATTTTAATTTTACTGAATGTGTTGAGTTTCCCATATCTGGCCTAAATTTCAAGTGCACAGAGTAAAAAGCCATATGCTTTTGGTGTTTATAAATTTGAGCAGAAAGCCTAATAAATGTCTTTCTATAATCTTTGGTGTGTATATATATATATATATATATATATATATGTTCATGTGTGCAGGTATGTGGTTGTATGTTCATGTGTGTATGTGGGAGCATGTGCACATGTGCCCATGCACATAGAGGCCAAAGACAAACATTGGATGTCTTCTACAATCATGATCCACCTTATTTTTTGAGGCAGGAACTCTCACTGAACCTGGAGCTCGCCCATTCAACTAGATTGGCTGGACAGCAAGCCTCAAAAATCCTATCTCTGCCACCTTGGCACTGGGTTTGCAGGTGAGGGCCTCTTTACATGGATGTCATGGATCCAACTCACATCCCCATGCTTAAATGACAAGCACTTTACTGACTGAGGCATCTCTCTAGCCCCTAAATACTTTTTTATAATCATGTTTTAAATGAACTTGAATAAATCTTTAGAGTCTTCTACATTAGAGCATGTCTCTAGTTTTAAAATTTTTGTATACCAATAGTTGAAAATTACTCTTCAAAATCACTGTATCAAAGACAAACAAGACATAGCACATATTTTGGTTTATTTGCAGAACCCTGCATGCTAATAATAAATCCTCTATGAAGATCAGACAAGATTTTATTTTCTGATACTTAACATCACTTTCTGGCACTTCATCTAGTATATAGGTATATTTCACTGATCATTTTTCTAAGATTGCTACTACCAAGATACTACCCTTCATTCTATCAATAAGTTATTTCTTTTAATCTTTTAGAATTAAAGCTGATTTTAAATACCAGAATTCTAAAATGGTTGTCTTGGAATATAAGGAAAGAAAACATATTTTAAAGAAAATTGCTATGTTTCATTTATAAAAAAAATTAAACAAAAAATTCCCAATATTCAGATTTGTCAAAAAATAACCTAAAACTAAATGATGCTCCTTCTAATCAATTTGTCTTTCAAGGAGAAAAACAACTGATAGCTAAGATAAAAATAAATCTTCATCTTTAATGTAGCCAATCTAGCATTTTTAATATTCAGTAAAATGTTTTAGAATAATCTAGAATATTGAGTGTGGGTGTGTGTGTGTAATGTGTGTGGGTGCCCAACGTAGCCAGAAGAGTGCATCGGATTCCCCTGGGAATGGAGTTACAGGTGGTGTGAGCCATCTGACATGGCAGCTAAGAACTGAACTCATAACCTATGAAAGAGTAGCAAGTGCTCTTAACCACTGAGTCATCCCTCCAGTTCAATATTTCTGTTTTTACACCAAAAAGAGCAAAAAGAATACTCTAGGGAATAGTGCTGTTCTGAAACCCTAGGTATTTATGTTCTTCCTGACAGTTTTAATTTTGCATTTTCCCTAAGAGTGCTGTAAAATAAAATATAGGTAAAACTGAAAAGAAAGCATGTAGTGTTATAGACAGTTTGAAGGCTGAAAACATAAGCATGAGGATTAGATGGCAAAATCAAGAGTCTAAATTCAAGGACTTCTAATTTCTGAACAGCATTCCAGTTCCAGTATTAACTGGAATATCTGGATGTAAAAATTAAGAATGCAGAAGACACTATGAATTCAATACTGAATAAATATTGGCTAGCATATCAAAAATGTAAAAACAGATAAGAATAAGCTGACAAACAGAATAGAAAATATATGAACTGTTAATAAAACTACTAAAACCAATCAAGATTATAAAGCACATTAATTTTTTACTACTCTACTATTTTAAAACTAAGAAAGAAGCTTTGGAGCACTATAATTAAAAACAATTTTAGAGCCATGCTTTAATGTGCATGCCTGCAATCCCAGCTAATAGGGAGGCAGAGGCATGAATACCACAAGTTTGATACCAGCCTTGGGTACGTAGCCAGTCAAAATTGGATAGAGCTAAGGGTACTAAACTCAAAACAAACCATCATCACCATCACCAAGAAAACAACTACATTGAGGTTGGTCAACTTATTTAATTCTAAAGCTGAAGATACAATTATAAAATATTAAATCCAAACACTGATAAATGGGGGAAATTGATACATTTAACACAGTCTTCAGCCCACAGACTTTGGGCCAATCACCTGTCACTGTAAATAAATTTATTTGAATACAGCAACATACATTCATTTACATGCTGTTTATGACAGCTTTTACACTGTTAACAGGAAGCTGAGTAACTGTAACATATATTTTATGCATGGTAAATGAACCTAATATTTACTGTCTATATGGTGCTCTAAGAAAACGTTAGATGCTGCCTGGTAACGCACTGCTAATGGGAGTTTAAACTACATATAAACTTTTAAAAATTGTTTTATATGTACACATAGAGTTGTGTATGGATGTGTGCTTATATATAATTTTTATAAATCCACTTACAATGAAATTTGAAACATAATATCTACTTACTAAAAGTTATTAAATTTGTAATGTTTTAATTAAAAATCAAGAACATGCTCTTACACACAAATGTTAAATGCCTTTTAAATCAGTTTTAAAGTCTCTCCTAATATCATACACTCTTTAATTTAAAAAGAAATGTGAATCCTACAAAGTCTTCTGATATTTCTGGAAAGAAAAGAGATTTCCATTACAAATAAAGAGAAAATGCACATTACTAAAATGAAGTAAGTACTCCTCAGTCCACTTCTTTCAAAGCATATGATTTTCATTATTAAGACTACTTCAGTTCTTGCCAATGGTTAAAAATAGATTCAAACTTCATTTAGAAAGCCCCTTACTCTCAGGTGAATAGTAATCTACATCAAATGCCAGACAAAGAAAATCAATTGATTACCCCCAACACCTGTCCAACCATACTCTGCCAAGCACACTCAGCAGAGAGCCCCCCCAAAAAAAGCTTAATCTCTCAGATACAAATGACACATGAAAAAGGAGGTGAGCCCTTCACAGGATTCTCAAAGGAGTTAATCTGAAGGTGGGACACTCTGGACCTAAATTTTTGCCATTAAAGAAATAAATATTCTATATAGGCCAAGTTTTACCTGCTTGTGTGACAAAACTGAAACCTAAGAAAATCATATTATTTAATATTATATCATAGCTAGCTATGCAACCCAAGAAATCAGCTAACAAAGAGCTGGACACTGCGATTTTTAAAGAGTTGTGAATCTCACAACTGTCACATCTTATTGCTACCTCCAGGAACTTCCAGAATGATACACAAAAGAAGTAGCCCATCCAATACCCAGCAGAATCTGCAAACAGAAAAGACAAAACTGAAGTTTTCAGGAAAGAAAACCAGAAATAAGAGAGCTGCACAGAGAGAACTCCACGGATCTTCAAATGATCTCTACCATGTTTTGGAGAAGAAGGAAAGAGGACCATTTATACAAATGGACACAAAAGGTATG